TGAGTCCTCAAGTTGACTAAGACACATAGAGACCCTATCAACAACAGGCTGAAGTCTAGTCTTATCCTGTGCCATCTTCATGATCTCGATAATGTTCAAACCCATTGTTGCAGTTACTATCTCAGTCCATTTTGTTGAGGGTCTTTCTTTTATTGGCATTCTATTTTTCCAAGCATGTTGTCTTCTTCCAAGGACTGGAATATCCTAACAAGTAGGCCCAAAAGATATGAAATAAAGTTTGACCATCCTTGCCTCGAAGGAGTCCCCTGGTTGCATTTTCTCGGATTAGTTCACGGGATATTAGTACTCATTAATAAAAAACAATTAAGGCATCAATTCTTTGGTCTTCATCAGTCACTGTCCAGTTTTCCCATGCATATGAATCAGCAATTTAAAGCTTGGGTAAAGTGCACCTTAATCTTTAAACTGACATCCTTAATCTTTAGCCCTTTAAAGATTTATAAATGCAATATCTCTTTTGATGTCTTGGCTACTGCTACAACAGCTGATTTTGAATCCAAGTAAAATTAAATCCTTGACAACTTTGATCTTTTATCCTTCTATCATGATTTTACCTACTGGTGCAATTGTGAAGACATTTGTTTGAAGTTCAATCCATCTTAAAGGCTGTAGTTTTCTATCTTCTTCAGCAAGTGCTTTAAGTCATCTTTATTTGCTGCAAGCAAGATTGTGTCATCTGCATTATATAAGTTGTTGATGAGTTTTCCTCCAAATTGATGTCACATATCTTCTTTTTCATATAATAAGTTTCTCAATTTATTTGCTTAGCATACAGAATGAATAGGTATGGATATAGAATACAGCCCTAACACACAACTTTCCTGATTGTAAGCAATGCAGTATTCCCATGTTCTTTTAGAACAACTATTTCTTGGTCTATATACAGGTTTCTCATGAACACAAGTGTCCTGGAATTTCATTTATATTCAGTACTATCCACAATCTATAATGACTCGCATAGTCAAATGCCTTTGCATAGTCAGTAGAACACAAATAAACATCTTTCTGATATTCTCTCCTTTCAGCCACGACCCATTTGACATCAGTAATAATATCTCTTATTCCACAGTCTCTTCTGAATCCAGCTTGAATTTCTGGCAGTTACCTACATACAGTCCAGCCATTTTAAAATTATCTTCAGCAAGATTTTACTTGCATGTGAAATTAATTGTTGTTGTTGTTGTTGTGTTGTTATGTGCCATTGAGTCGCCTGCGACTCATAGCGACCCTATGTTCTGCTCTGTCCTGTGCCAATCGCACTGTCTCTGACACTCCCATCCCGATTATC